TTCTAGCTGTGGTGATTTATTTGCATCTCCTTGCCTAGTTTTAAAATTAGTCTATAATGGGAATTGTGTATTCGAGAGCGGTTTGGGGCTTTGAGATTGTTTGAATGTTCATTTATTCAAATTTGGCTAAATCTATACTCTTTTAATAATAACTCTATAGTATGTGCCGATTACATGAAGCATTTTCAAGCCTGGGGATAAACTAGTTTTATACTGTTGACAGCGTTGAAATTTGTTCAATAAAGTAGCCCTCGGCCTGGGTGCTCGAAACAGGTTTGAAATTTAAACTGTTTTTGAACTGAGACAAAATCCAAGGTTGAAGATCCTCTAATTCCTTCGATGTAATCAGCTTTATTATATAATGTGCAGCATGCAACCCCAATTTCCTACAACAAATGTTATTATAATTTGCAATTGTCCTATTATCTATTAAAGTGCAGTGGTGTATATATTAATGCTTTATTAAAATTAAGTTTATAAACAAATTTGTTCTCATTATTTATATCACAAAACGATTTTTGCACGCGAATTGCAAAGAATCAAAACATATTCTCAGTCATTTTATAGTATTTATTTATGCGATATTGTTCCTGTTGATGTGGTCATAGCCGTGATCACCGAGAACAGTGAATATAAAAGTCTACAAAGTAGGCGAGCATATTGTCATATTGACATAGTACCAGACTATGCATATGGCCAATCATTTATAATCTAAGAGCTTTTACCGCCGAAATCAACGCGTTTATTTCAAAAACACAGCTGAAACACACAGTAGAGTAGTAGCGCTAAATTTTTACGCAGTTATACAAAAAAATTTGGAGTTCATCCGCACTTTTTGGTCAAAATCTTCGTAGAATGTGTTCGCACGCATACTATTTTATATTGACAATATTTGTTTCCCCTGCTCTTGACGTCACAAATTTATTCTCACATAAATTAGCATACCAGGTTTTTTTCAAGATGGCGGACGACTGTAGAAAGTTTTATGATATTTCTGAACAACTAAACGCGATAGACAAGTGAAAATACGTAATTAAGTATTCCGTAGGTATGTTTAATAGATATCGAGAATAAAAAAATTTATTGCCATTGTCCTTTAACCCAATATTTTTGGATTGTTTTAATAACTGCTTACTATGTTATAGGGTAGTTCCAAGATATATGATCTGGAATAAAGAATATAATTAGGGAAGCGTTTAATGCTCCATGTATGGAAAGAACTCAAGCTGTATTCCTCGTATATAGACTGTATAGTATAATATTATAGTATGTATATAATAGTATGTATAATGTAGTATTGCGTAATATACCTATAATACATATGATACCTCAGCGTATTCTATAATAACTGTGACGTAGACTAATCGATCCATATGTAAACGCGTGTACATACGATATTGTAAAACTTATTAATAATTATTTATTTATTAAATTTACAATCATACAAAAAATATAACAATGATTGAAGGTATGGTCAACGGGACATGAGTCCCATGTAAAGACCAACCTGATACAATACAATAAGTAGACATACATTAAAGACAAGGATTATAGAACACTATTTACATAGCTATATAAAAAATAATAGTTTAGATTATGAGCAACAGCTTAAGTTGAAAGAACGGCATTTAGAGCAGTAGGTTTTCCAAGTGCGCATTCTGTTAACATCGAAAGAAGAGTCTAATTGAGAAGAGTAGTGAGAATGTAGCTGGAACTTAAAGGATGAAACAGACGAACTGTTACGAATGATTGGAGAGAGATTGTTCCATAGAAAGACAATTCGGTTAAAAAAAGAGTTTCTAAAAAGAGAGGTTTTGCACGGATTGACTTGAAGCAAGTTGTCCTTGCTTGAACGGATGCGAGATGAGCGATTAGAAGAAAAGGTGACAAAAGAGGAGATATCTAGGTCGTAGAGGCCTTGTTTGCATTTGAAAAAAAAGATGAGATACTTTATTTCAAGCCAGTAAGATATAGGCAATAAATTAAGTTTCCTATGACGTTCAAGATAAGACAACTCATAATCTTGAAGTATAAATTTAGTAGCTCGTCTCTGAACACCCTCCAGGATCACAAGATTGCGTGACGAGGCTTGAGGTGCCCAGATCTCACTGGCGTAAGACAGGTGAGATCGAACAAGAAAGAGGTAGAGAAGCCGACGGCAGCGAGTATCAGTCATTTGAGAACAATTTCTCCGAAGAAAACCAAGCTGACGGTTGGCTTTAGCAGTACAGCTGGCAATGTGAGGGGACCACTTAAGGTCATTGCTCACAACCACACCCATGTCGACTTGTTAGGCTACAGTCTTAATAGGTTGATTGTTAAGGTGGTAAGAGTGAGTTGGAGAGTTGCGTTTCCGAGATACCCTGAGCAAGAGCGTCTTAGATACATTAAATTTCAATTGCCAAGAGATCGACCAGTTGTGCATAGAGTCAAGATCAGTCTGTAGGAGATCTCGATCGGCTGGTGACTGAATAGCACGGTAACATTTACTGTCGTCAGCAAAAAGTGCAACAGTAGAATTCTTAGTTACCTCTGGAAGATCATTCACATACAAAATGAAAAGTAGTGGACCTATGACACTACCTTGTGGCACACCAGATTTAACGTTAAGGAAGGATGAAGAAACTATGAAGAAATGAAATGTTTTTCCATATATACAAAATGAAATGAAATGAATTAAATGCAACCTCTCCACGAACCGATTTGTATGTGATCCGATACAACATGCCCGCTCAATTTCATGCCGTATACTATATATTCCATATAGATAGGGATTATGTTGTGTCTAGGATTTGTAACTACTAGTAGTTCAAAAATTCTTAATTAAGATAAATTTGTAACACTGTAGGTAAACTAGTTACTTCATTCCATCATGACTTGTCTCGGTAACTATAATTACTTTTATGATGATATAACTGTAAATGTAACTAGCTTAAAAATCATGTAACATTCACAAGGCTGCTAATAGGGCGTTTTGGTTTATCAAAACATCAAGTGGGTTGTGGCCAATCAAAGCATGGACAGCTCTCCTTATGAACAGCTCTCCTTATAATTCAAAGACCAACATTTAGTTTAATGTAGCAGCGCTACTGATTGAGTCGTCCTGAAATATTGTGTTGATATCGCGTTGGGATGTCAACATGCATACACGACAAGCTTACAGCAATGGTCGTCCTGCAATCATATCTGTAAAGCTCGTAAACAAATAGTCTATTGCTGACCTGTATACAAATCGAGGCTGTCGAAAGATTACAGCCACTCTTATTTCTCTATAAAACCCTACGCCAATCCCAAAAACATGTATGCATTATCATAGCATGAATATTTCTTCTCAGACTTATTCTGTATCGTATGAAAAAGAAACGCAATTTTGAGAAGGCGAAAATGGTGTCTCATAGAACCTACAATGATTTAAATGCAACATTTCTAATCAAAATCACTTTGGGATTTTCTCCCCCAGCATCACAGAGGGGAAATAAGGTGACACTGACCCCTCCTCCTGTTTTTCAAGGTGACTTTTCCAATTTACTTAATTCCGAGTAGAAACGTCCGGGAAAATTCATGTTTTCGATGCACTTTATAATCTTCATAATTCTGCAAGATTCCACCCCAAGAATGCTGGATATCGCATTTCAGGGACCCAAGATTTCAAATTTTCCCGGGGGTTCATGCCCCCGGACCCCCTAGACGATCTCACGCGTTCGGCGTGAGCTTGTCCCCCCAAAAATTGAAGGTCTGGCTACGCCACTGTTTGTCGGGGAGAAGATTGCCTTCACCGCATCATTCAAGTACGAATTCTAGATAGCGTGAATACATGGATAAATTATACTGGGAATGCATTTTGATGTGGAGAACAATACTGACCTTGAGCATGTTTTCCAATGTCATACAGAGTCATAAGTAGAATAGTAACGCCGATAATAAATTTCCAAACTCTATCCACGAATTCATTGTAAACGTCTTTTCCATGTCTTGGCGTACCTATTGAAAACACCGTCCATGCGATGCCAAAAGCAACGTGAAAAAGCAAATGAACAGCGGTTGAAAACCAGCCATATTGTTTCCACTTGTTATGCACCAGCCTCTGTATAACCGGATGCGTTACTACTTCGTATTTGCGATTAGCCACAGCGGTTTCGAGAGGAGTTCTCACTGTTTTCGTTTCAACTTTTTGCCGCGAAGCTTCTAGATGGTGTAAAAAGTAGCATTCTGTGGATTGTTTATATGAATATATTTGACATCTTAATACAAGACATAACTAACATAAAGTCCCAAAACTATGGTCCAAAACGGTCGTTTTATATGAATGTTCCGAATCTAAAACGTGTTCGTAAAGCGAGCACTAACGCGCATGCGCAAGCAAATACTACGCTTAAAAGTCATATAAGATTAACTATAGTGTCCTTTAACAAACTATGCATAATTCTCGACAATCACAACAATCCTCCAAAGAGTAAAGTCTTGTTTATTGAGTGAAGGCCAATATGAAACATGACTACAAAATACTGAATCAAGACTCAGAAGAGAAATATAAAATATAGCCTAACAAACAATTTGTTTGCTGGTCAAATAAATATTAATAATAATAATAACACTTTATTTATTGAGGATAAACAGATAAAATTACAACTTTTTTTCAATCTGGTCCTCTTAATTTATAGACACAACAACAACATTAAACATGACTATTTTCAGTACTTCCTAGGAGTATGAACAAACAAAATCATGGGTATAATGTAATGTATTTACAGCATGCAATTTGTATTTTTGAGCTGCCAAATTAAATGGCTACAAAAACTATATAAAAACTATATTTTAGATTTGGTTACAGTTGTTTGCATTGAGCACCAGCGCTCTCCCCTTGATGAGTAAAATTGTCTGGCATTAGACAGAGTACAGTTATGATGTAGGGTGTGCAATGGCATGCTGCTATCTTGAGCCAAGCCATGCCAACAGTCGTGTCTTGGGTTGACACATGACTTGTTGAAATAAATGAATAAATTTAATCAGTCTGAAGATTTATTCCTTAACAAGAATCACTCTTTGAAAAATTTCCATTTCTGAACAAGACTGGCGAGAATATTGACAAACTGATGAGTAATTGGAAGAAATACAAGTTTAGTGTTCCCGTTTATGGTGCTATTTTATTGAATTCCGAGCTGGACAAGGTTGGTTTAGGGCAAACTTGCAAAATTTTATGGAAGTTTATTTTATACTTGTGTTTATTTGTCTTGTGTGTGCTGAGCGCTGATATATCTTCAATTCTTTCAGTGTATTTTAGTTCAAGCTTTCACACACAAGTCAAGTTGGGGTTTCCCTCGAGGAAAATTGAATAAAGATGAGAGCCCATTGGAGTGTTCAATACGAGAGGTAATGGCCATGGCTTCTTCTTTAGTCCTTTGCACAAATGGAAAGATTTCATAGTTTTATGGTTGTGTTTGTTTCTCCCTCCCTTTAAGTGGCATTATGCCCTTCTTTATTATTTTGCTCTGTCTAATGCCAGACAATTTTACATGTCAAAAATGTTGAAAACATTGAAATCGCTGATCTTGAATTATGCTTAATTGATTTTCCTACAGTAGTTAGTTTTTTCAATTAAAAGGGTTGTAATGCACCTTCAAAAACCATCATTCAAAAGGCTGAACTGTACCTTTAAAATGATTTTGCTGTGTTGTTAATACCGACTGTTTTTCTTGGAATGATAGGTTTTGGAAGAAACTGGTTTTGATATCAGAAAATATGCAAATGAAAATGACTATTTGGAAAATTCTCTTCACGATCATTTGGTAAGTCGGTAAACAAATGCACATAGTGTAAACTGCAAATCTGTAGATGGTACAACTACATAAAAAATGCAAACAGAACTTCGATTTTTAAACCAAAAGCCCTTCATCGGGAACCCCCAATTATAAATGTGTGTTCCTGTTGCCAAAAATACTGAAATTCTTAGTTGTTTAACCCATTGAGTCATATTGTGCCTAATGCGCCCTACTTTATTATTTTGCTCTGTCCAACATCAGATTATTTTACTCTGTCTAATGCCAGACAATTTTACTTGTCAAGGGGAGAGTGCTGGTGCTTAATGGGTTAACTGGCCTATCTGACTATGTGTCTAGTTAACCAATTGAGTTGCCCTACTTTATGATTTTACTCTGTCTAATGCCAAACGGTTTTCCTCATCAAGGGAAGAGTGCTGGCGCTTAATGGGTTAACTGATAAATGCTGAATATAACACCTTTTAGGTACGGTTGTATATTGTTCCAAAAGTTCCCGTTGATACTGAATTCAAAACGAGAACAAGAGGAGAAATAAAGGTACAATACATAAATTAGCTTATGATATTTTACGTGATAACTTAGGGGAACAAGATTGCGTGCACCACAACCAAATATAAACAAGGTTCGACATTTTTTTCTAGGACATTCAGTGGTTCAATGTGAAAGATTTGCCAACTCATAAGAAAGATGCTCGGATGAAAGAGAGTACAGGTCTTTCTGCAAACAATTTCTTTATGGTGCTGCCTTTTGTGAAGTAAGTACCATTCGAAGCACTATTGTTGCAACATATTTCAACAGACTTGCAGCATGCAAGCCTTAAAAAATCGGTCGGTCACAGACATTGGCTGAGCCATTCGTGAAATTGTCCGTCGTAGAGAGGAAATCACTGGACATTCTGTCCGAGGTTTATTGTTTGTCCGGCCTGAGTGAATTGGTGTCCGACCTAATTCTAACTAGTAACTTTGTCCAACGTATATCAATGTACCCTAGCCCAGGACTAGAGGCTGGTATATTGAATGGAGAATCAGAATAATGTATAAAGGTGGGTTTCCATTGAGATGCGAAGGGGGGTGCGGTGGATTAATTCCAGTATCCTTTGGAAATTTTCTAGAGATTTAAAAAAATGGATAGGCGAGAAACGTAATTTAGCCTCACTGGAACAGCAGAAGGTGTATTCTCAACCACAGAATCAGTTGCAACGAATGTTGCAATCAGAGGACGCATGCTTGAATATGGAACAGGCACGCGTTGAACACGAGAAACGTAAACACGAAGCGCAGAAACGATTCTTGAATCAAATGGACTTCTATCATCCACTCAGGACTCAGGATAATCTCAAGACGAGAAAAGGTAAGCGATATGTTGTGTGGAAATTTTGTTTGTGTCGATATTGTGTGTTTATTTTGTCCTAGGGCTGGTTGTATATGAAACTCTTAAGTACTTGTTAATCATTAATTTGTAGTTAAATAGTAGTTAACTTCGAAATACGCGATTTTTTGACAATTTTCGCACGAACTGCAGTTCATTTTCACTACTTTTTTCAACAATCAGCCCCCTCGGGGCTTAAATGCGCAAAGATATTCAAAAACCGGGTGATTTGGTAGCCCGTGAGAGAACTGTGTTTAGTTCTCAAAATCAAATCCACTCATGAATATGTTTCATTTTGTTTTCAAATTGTCGTGGGCTGTCGCTGAACCACACATGCGCAGTGGACAATACCGAATACCCAATTTAAATTATTTAAACCTAGTAGCCAATTTTTTTTTTGTAATTTATGGACATTGATAAAGATTGCTTCTTTATGCTTTTCAATCACTTTTTGTCAACACATTTTGAGAGGTTACAGTATACAAACAGCCTATTTCTATTCTTTCCTATTTTACTTCATTTCAGCCGTTTTCGGAAACTCAGCCCGCAAACAGGCAAAACACCCTTCGGAGCACGACCAGAAGAGCGCAAACACGGCCAAATCATTTAAAATTCTCCAGAGAACCGAAACGGATGGTCGGCCAGACCCAGCTCGCAGGTACAGCCCCGTGAACGCGCGCCGTTCGTCGCCATCTTCGATGACGCCATCTGGAAATCAAGAATCGTATCCGAACACCACGCGAAGTTTGTCGCCCTCGAGTAATTCCGCGTTCACGCGAGTTTCTCGCGTGAACAACACGCGTCGCGCGAGACCGAAAAATAAACAGCAAGCGAAGAGTCCAACCACTTCCATCGATATGACATTTACTGCTCCTGCTTGGACGAATTTTAAATTCGATAAAGGAAAGATTTTAGAAGCTTTTAGAGCGTGAAATGTTCTTATTTTTGGACGCATTTTCGAGCGTGAGATTGGATTTTTAGAGGCAGAAAAGGATTTTTAAAGTAGATTTGTAATATATGATTTTAGAGTTTGGGTTCAATCTGTAAATAATGTTAGAGTTTTATTTTACTTCTCGTTTATAAACATTTTGAATAGGGTTAGTTATGCAGATAATTTTATAATTTGCGAGCTAATTAACTAAGGAACTAACTGTAGCAAATCAACCGACTAATTACTTTTTAAACCCGGTGACATTGTGGGCTCAGTCAATAATTTTCCCGCGCTTTTCGACTCTCTGATTTCGACTTATTTATGACGAAATAAGACTCAAATTGTATGTTTAGATCGTTGTCAATTATGCTTGGGTCACCCAATATTTTTCTTTGGGTCTTTAACCTTTTCTTAATTCTGAAATTCTACCAATAAATCAAAAACTTTGCAGACTATATCTTGAAATATTAATTTGGCAGTTTTCTTCAGATAATTTCTGAAGTTTAGCAGAAGGCAACACATAAGACACAAGAACCACTTCAGGGCTGATTAATAAGCTGATTTTAAAATGGTCTTTACTTTTGTACTTGCTGAAACCATGGACGTGACCTAATGTTTTCAATG